GAAGAATAAGAAAAGGAAAATGGCAGGACAAATTATTACTTGACCAGTACACAAAAGCAAATTACAAATCCTGGCAAGGCTAAGAGCAGGAAAATTGCAAAAAAAGACAGAGGGCCTAATTCTTGCTGCACAAAATTAAGCCTTAAGAAGAAATGCATACAAGGCCAGAACTGAGAAGACAGCATCAAATATCATATCTGCAAAGTAGTTGAAGAAATAATGGATGACCTAGTTAGTTGCAGCAAGAGGATTGCGTGGACTGACTACAAATAATGGTGTGACAAAGCAGCAACAATGATGCATTGGAACATCTGCAAGAAAGAACTTGTGGGACCACAAAATAGACAAAGTAATAGAAAATGAAGAACCTAAAGTACTTTAGTTTAGAATTCAAACAGACAGGCAGACGTGCCACATAACACCTAGACCAGTGGTTCGCAACCTTTTTAATGCCGCGACCCCCAACTGGTCGTAAGTCGAGGACTACTCAACTGGTCGTAAGTCGAGGACTACTCAACTGGTGCAGCACCATTTGCAGAATGGGACTTTTGGCAGGCTCAGCAGGGCAGAGACAGCCGGGACAATTCCTATTGGCTTTTGAAAGCCAATAGAATTAGACTCTATTCAAGAGAGTCTATTCTATTGGCTTTCAAAAGCCAATAGAATAAAAGGGAGTAGCACAGCTAAGGAAAAGGGGGGGGAAATGGCGGACTGCATTGTTTGGTGACCCCCATGAAATGGTCATTTGACCCCAAATGGAGTCCCGACCCACAGGTTGAGAACCACTGACCTAGACTTAATAACTATGAATAAGAAAACACAAAAGTCTGGATAGTGGACATTGCACTACCTGGAGACAATAGAAGAGAAGAGAAGGAATTAGAGAAAATAACAAATACAAAGACCTGTAAATAGAAGGACTGCAGCAAAAGAAAGCAGAAGTAATACCAATAGTAATAGTTGCCTAACATCTGGAACATACTTAAATACCATCAGCATTGAAAAGGTAGCACCAGTTAATTACCATATAAAAGGCAGCTTTACTTGGAGCAGCTTACATCCTATGAGACTTTTAACATCAACAAACAACTTCTGCCTATCTCAGATGCTTGGAAAGGACTTGAAAGGTAGATAAAAATCCCAAATCCTGTCTAAACATCTGGCTGACTGTGCAACTAATCATAATGATACACTATTGGAACTGGCCAGTTGAAAATGGAGAATCTGAACAAGATCTATATATATATATTTGCTAAGACTCATCATCAGCTTGATAGCACGTAATCAAGCAGATTCTATTCAACTTTTAAAAGTGGAAAGTCACATGACAGTATGACATGACTCAAAGCCCTTTTCTACTTAGTCTCTTCAGTGTAGTGTCATTGCTTCTATCCCGCAACCAATACTGAGCTTCATATAAAATGCTTCTCCCTCACATATTCTCTGTGTTCCTTCCGCACAACCCATTTTTCTCAGAGAATGAAATATTTAAAAATGTATACAGACACATTCTATATGCTGATGTAATTATTATTCCAATTGGATGCAACAAGTGGGTGATACACTGTATATATAGTTCATTATGTCCATTGAGTTATTACTAAGTTACGAGTGCATGGTGGTTTGGTTCAGCTAATGTTTTAAAATCAGTTGAAGCAAGTTATAATGTTTACCAAAATAATTCTTAATTTTTTTTAAAAAAAAACCACTAATTATGCCAGATATGCCCTGGAAGAGAATTGGAGATGATAATTTGCTAACTTGGGAATGATAAGTATTTAGTATTATAGGTTATTTTTTATGATCTATTTTCAAGGAGCAGCATGTACCAGATAGAAGTCATTTTATATAAAGTCTATCATATAATGGATCCTTGACCAAAATGACATCCTGGATCTTAATTGCCAGCTAAAACAACTAGAAGCAATAATGTTACACAAACAATCTCAGAGACACCTCAGCCCTCCATTGTCCAGACCAAAGGAGCACAATTAGGCAAAAACAAATCTATTTGCAACGAGTCCCAGAGCAATAACTGTCTTCATAGAAGCAGGTTAAGGCCAAAAAAGGAAAGCACTTCTTTCAGCTTCATTCCTGTTCCATTCATCTCTACAACCCAGGTGGCTTGGATTTTTGATTTATTCTGTGTTGGTTTGATTTTTGCAGGTGTGGATAAATGCAAACACACTCAGTGGAATCAATGTAATGTTATTGGCCAAATTTACAATCTTATAACTCTGCTTCGTTTACAGAAATGTAAACATCCACAATGTTTGTAACATACAGTATATATTATATATAACATATTTTAACACATTGTAAGTTTCTTTAAACCCTATGATTCTATGAAATGTGATTGTGAGATTATTTGTTTTTAATCCCAGATTATGCATTGGAGAAATTAAAGTATATATCTGATTGGCTGATTGGTTTATAAGATTTATAAACCACTCAAACACCTACTAAATAAAACAAACAGCAAGGGAAACATATTTGGCCTCCAAATGTTGCTGATGTATAATTCTCACCATTGGCTAGACCGCTGTTTTTTTCTCCCTTGCTCAAATCTAGTATATGTTACCCTATGGCTTACTTTTCATTTCTCAGTAGACTGTCTTTCTGCCAGCTATCATTTATTACAGAAGCCACACCTTGCAGATGTTCCCAAAAATATTCACAGCTTTAGTATTTCATTTTTTTTAGAAGCCCAGTGAAAACATGCCTGGCATTATATTGTGTTTTATGACCCAGAAAAAAGCATTAGTCGGAGATTTTTAAAGTTACTTTCCATTTTACATGGCCCTGAAGGCTAATAGGAGCACTTAGGCCAGGATTTCAGCTGAAAATGGCTTAGCCTTACTTCTTTAGATGTACAGACTACATGCCAGGTAGTTTAAAATTATAAGCAAAAAAACAAGTCCTTCAAGTTAATCAAAGTCATTAATTAATTGTGGATTAATGCTAAGAGTTAAAATGCCAGCAAACTGGTGCTTATGAGAGAGAAGCTTGAGCAGAGCTCCAAATCATAGTGTTACATGGTCATACTACTAAAAAATAATTTGATTATCTTTTGATACTAAAGTGATGTGCAGGCAAGTAGAGACTACTTCTATACCTGAAACAACCTTGATGTGTACATAGGCTTGTCATGTTTCTAAATATTCAGACCAAGAACTGCAGACGGTAAATTTGGGGGCTAAAAGTCTATACAAGGAAGCCTGGATCTCTCCGGGTGGGGTGGACTAGCTTTATAATGAATTGAGTATGACATCTGGAAAATTGGATGGGATAATGGGGTTTGAGTTGAGACAATAATTTGATGAGAGCAAAGCAATACCACAGCACCTAATTTGCTCCTATCAAATGGGAAGCTGATCTCCCTGTACTCTGTGTCTCATATAGTATGACCATATTCAGAACTCCATAGAATTGGGAATTCACTGTACATAAACAATAACCAATAACTAATAATTAGTCCACCAGTTCTTTATTTTGGTCATTTACTTGGTCAAATTTGCATTCAGTAGTAAAATTAAAGCCATCCCTTAAATCAATAATTTAAGACATAAGAATAAATAGAGTTTATGTCGTTAGCACGAATGAAGATAAAATTATCATCTCTCTCAATCAATTGATAGATATATAATTTCAAAATCAATTATGAATACAAGTATATAAATCTATAAGATGTATACTATTATATAAAATTACACTTAATGCTAAATGGCTAAATATAAATGGTTAAGATTGGATTAAAATAGTATATAAAAATCATTAAATTTCTAAAATCTATAAATATTTCAAATCTAGTACTAAGGTGTGACTAAAACACTTCAGGGTAAAAATTTAGATAGCACATAGAAAAGGATGACTGCAGTGGTGGGATTCAGCCAGTTCGCACCACTTTGGCAGAACCGGTAGCTAATTTTTTGTTGTCCAGGTCCAGAATGGACTTCCGGAAGTGGCATCCACACAGAGAACCAGTTGTTCACATATTTGCATCCCACCACTGGATGACAGGGAATCTGAAGACTGAATGGCCATTGCCTTAATCAGCCTAATGGCTTCAATGTCTAAGAATGTAAACTGTGGCAAATAGGTGTAATATACTGTACAAAATAACAAAGTAAAAATAACATCTAACTTTGTCTATAACTTTAACAGCCATCCTTGGGTAAAGTTTATATACACTGTAACATTTTTTTCTACTTTTAAAGAGAACTTAATTGTGCCATGCCACTCTCACTAATCAAACTGTAAGAAGCTTCCAAGTTTTCTGTGCTATTTGAGTTTGAGTCTGGTTTCCTTTGAAATGAGGCCTTAGAAGACCTAGTGGTATTTTGCAGAAGGTGTGCACATTTATCCATTAGGCTTCAAAACAAGGTCTGCCTAATTTTCTATGAGCAATTTTCTTTGAATGATATTTTGTGTGTAATGTTGTTGTTGGCTTTCTTCCATCAGTGTCATATTTAACACATTTTAAAATACATATTTATAATGACTGTAATATGTCACAAATGAGAAAGTTCTAGGGCTTGAGATATGCTTTGTTAAAAGCTCTGCCATTGCCAGCGGTGATATTTGACTTCTTGATTTAAAATGGCTGAAATGGAAGAAAATCTGTTGATTAAGCTGCTATTTACTTCTGATTTATTTTATAATGGAAGACTTCCCAAGGCTTTTCAAAATCTCAGCCAACCACATTAAAAGCTGCTTTCATGAATTTGATGTTGATCCCAAATGATGCCATTTCCTTAGAGGGCGTTGTTCTTGCATTTGTAAAAGTTTAGCAGAATTGCGTACAGATTATAGTACACAATAAATAAATCTTGAAAATAGTCAGTGGTGGCCAGGAACAAACACCTCGCAGTGACCCACATTCTGTTGATCAGATGGTTTCAATTAATTAGTGTTACATAAGAGCCAAGAATAGTGTCACTCAAATGTTTGCCAAACTGATGATTTGTAAGATATGCACACAGCCTTTTTCTTTTATTCAGAATATAATATAGATTGCTTCAACACTGTTTTTTCTGAAGAGGCTAGAGAGGAAGAAATTAAAATAATCCCTGCAACGTGCAAAGAATTGTGATCCCTTTATAGATGATGAAAAAAAAATTAAAATAGCAGAAGAGCTTTAACTTTTTACCAAGGAGCCATCTGTTCTCTTAGGTAAGTGGGTTTTAAATTAATAAGTTTAAATTTAATGTATGTTAATTTAGATGCTGTACTCAGTAAGTGTATTACCCTGGGGAAACATAATCTTTTGATGTTTCTAGGTGGGGAGTAAATCACATTGAGCAGAGTAAAACATTTTTCAGAGTAAGCTTGGCTAGGATTGTGCTATCTTTAGATACCATGAATTAAAACAATCTCAACTGCAATCTTAGATGTTTCTATTCAGAACCAATTTTCACCAAAGTCAGTTGGGTTTGCTCCTGAATAAATATGTAAAGGATTGCAACTGAAAGATATGAACATGCACTTGCATTCTTCTTTCCTTACTATCTCTTTCACTGTCAACTTCTGAGGCCATAAATCTGTATTCTTTTGTTTACATTATTTTAAAAGATGCTCTACTTGCTGATATATAGCTTCATTTATGAACTGCTATGTTAGGCCTTTTTGCTATTTGGATGCTACACACACAAAAAAGTTTGAAAATACTGCTATTAGGTGGTAATGATATGATTGACATTTGCATGATGCTGTGGGGAAAAAAGGTAAAGTATACATTGCAAAGGGGTTATTTTTGAAAATCTGGGACATGACCTTCCTTTGCAGAAAAATTCACTGATTAATCAGAAACAATGTGGATTTATTCTTGGAAATCTAATTTCCTTTCATTATAAATGCACAGTCTTACTTCTGGAAAGATATAAATAACTAATAGCACTAACATTTTAAAAGTGATTTTTTTTTTTTTTTTTTTGCTGAATGATGCCTTTTTAAAATACCAGAACTGGTTCTGGTTCTTTCCCTCACTCTCCTGTTTTCAGTGCTTCAAGTTTGGGTTCACTGATCATGCAACCATTTACCCCTTTTAGGACTTGGCAGAAGTTGTGACTCCAGCTAAAAGATATTGTAATGTTACAGTAAATAGAATTTGCTGATAGGTCATATTGCCAACCATAGGATTTGAATGACAAAGAAATGTTTAAAGCATTTAATTTTGTAATTTTCCTCCAGCTCATTTTGCAGCCCTTATTATATTGAACATTTATTTCATTTTAGGTAATATTTTCATTATTGGCAAATACGTTAAGACTTGTATTGCTTCTGTAATTTTTATTTGAAAAATTAATTTATAGTGTTTTTTGTGTATATATACATGTGTGCTCTAGTTAACTGAAAATAATATTTTTTCTGCTTACTTCTATTCAAGAGGAATATTGTAAACTTGTTGAGAATGTGGTTAGGCAGATTGATAAAAATTTATTCTGCCTTATTTTGCTATGGATTACCTAAAGATCAAGATCACTTTTTGTGCTTTACCGTATTAGATAAGGCTTAGTATTTCAAGATTTCATTTTAAACCTTAACACAGAAAACTGCCTAGCTGTATAGTTTTTTAGCTACTTGGTATGTTCAATTCTGTGTGTTTTTTTTATTTGATATATGGCTATTGCTTATAAATACATACATACATACATACATACATACATACATATAGTTTTGACATCAGAAAAGCAAATAGATCTATGGTTTTCATATATTTCCACATTCTATGGCAATAGTAGGAAAGAATCTATTAAATTCAGGGAACAGAAACAAAGCCAGAAAAAGACATTTCACTAAAGTAGATGTTCTGTATAGCTATGAACGCAGAGCACATGGTCTTAGCACCTGGATAGGAATAGGCTGAGAAGGTGGCAGTCTTCCAAACTTTCCTTTATTATGGTTTGTTTCAATTTGCTTTTCTGTTTGCCATTCTGCTTGAAGTAGAGACACAACAGGCACAGCAGTTTAGGGAAGATAATACTCAACTTATTTATTCCAACTTAGACATCACCAATTCCAATCAAATCTGGATGATTCACAGTATAAAAACAAAACTAAACAAAATTCGAGCAAAAAGCCCACAACTGTATAACAATAAGAAGATAGCCAATCTTGCCAACAATAAACATATAATGTACTCACCATTGGAGTAGTTGACTAGGCTAGGGCATGAGTGACTATCTGAAAAGCCTCTTGGTCTAGCAAAAGGCACAATTGACACACACAATGTAGCTGTTCAAAGGGACTAAGTATATGTACTGCCTTTCTGTAGAAAAAAATCAAGATGTTGTACGTGGAATTCCTGGGCAGAGTTCCTTCAAGATACTGGCAAAATTCAGGCTTCCTTAGCTTCAGCAAGATGGCTTTAGAGTTTAGATGAAGTTAGGAATCTACTTGGCCCAAAGTATTCCATGAAGAAGAATGCAAATTCTGGGATTCTGTCAGGCTAAACCCAAGAACAATAGCCAGACTTCAGTCTACTTATAAATATATTCATTTTGGAATCACTAGAATGTGTTAAATTGGGAACTCCATGTACAGCATGATTTTAGTCACAGGATACTGAAACATTTTTGTATCAATTGAACAAGCCTCTTGAAGGCTATTTTTGCTTGTCCATAATTGTTAGGATTGTGTAATTTGCCAGCACCCGCCCAATCCCAGGCGAATGCCAGCTTTGCCAAAAGAAAAAGCTATCCAGATTTCTTTCTTGCAATGTAGCATGTTGTGAACTAAAAAGTGCCAGTCTTCTGCTGTCGGTAGAGCTCTAACAGGAACACATTTTTTAAAAAACATTTTTCTTGGCATGATACCAGCATCAAAAACAGGTATGTTTGCATTATTTTTGCTGATGTTGTATGTCTCTGTGTTGAATCATTCAGAAGGATCAAACATATAGCTGCAGACTGATGTAGTTTAGACATTGGATTATTTTTGTGCATAATATCTACAGACATAAAGAAAATGACCATGAAAATGAAGAAAGGAATATATTCACAGAGAAGATATATAGATAGATAGATAGATAGATAGATAGATAGATAGATAGATAGATAGATAGATAGATAGATAGATAGATAGATAGATAGATAGATATATATATATATATATATATATATATATATATATATGACTGTTTATATTGCTTTGGAAAGTATGAACTCTTTCACACCTTGCCTTTGATACAGTATATTAAAAACAATCATATGTAGAACCAATGTTCTGTGTCTTATGGTTTTGAGATCAAGACTATTATGTTGGTTGTTTTCAGTCTGTGGGGGTGGGATGGGGGTATGCACTAGTGGATAGTTTTGCAATTAGATCACATATTTATGTATGCAAGTGGAGTTCCATTTCAGAAACAAAATATATAAATTGTGCATTTGTAGGAAATTTGTGAAGAATATCCCTGATTGTTAAATGTTGCATCTACAGCAGAAAATACATAATTATTTCTCAGTGCTGAACTTTGATGAAACCTATTTGAAACTGGGCTTCTTTGAAATTCAGCATAGGCAAGCATATGGAAGTTCTTTTTGTAACCTTTTGTTTTTATTTCCAAAAGACACTACATGTGGTAAACTGTCTGAGAATGCAGGCTATATTTGATGCATTCATTTGAGCAAAATTCTACTGAATTAAATTACTATGAACCATATTTATACAATTTCTTTTTTTAAAAAAACAGAATTTTGCTTAATAAAATGTAGTGTGAATACATCTACTTTTTAAAGAAGGTGTCCCTTTCTGCTAACAAACTCCTGAATATTTTAGTTTTCATATAGTATTAACATATATTGTTAAGCAAGAGTTTTGAGTCCAGGAAAAACCCCAAGTTGTATACAACCTTTGAATGGAGAAGCATGATCCCATCCAAAGATCACACTTCTCCATGAAGTATTCCTAGATCTGGACCGCCCAAATAACCACAGTCATTTGATCTTAGTAGGATTGAGTAGAAGATGGTTCCTCTCCCTTTGTGAAGGGTTAAGGGTGCTACATTGAGGGGTGTGTGTGTGTGTGTGTGTGTGTGTGTGTGTGTGTGTGTGAGAGTGAGAGAGAGAGAGAGAGAGAGAGAGAGAGAGAGAGAGAGAGAGAGAAGAGAGAGAGAATCCATCTCTACAATATATGAATACCAAGAGACAGAATGATTCATTTGGGTAGGATTTTCTTGCTGTGGAATAAACAGTGCAAAATATAAAGCAATTTCTCATTTTATTGAGGAAGTGCTTCCACCTTTCCTGTTGCTAAAATGGAATCTGAACACAGTGAAAGAAGAAAGAAGTAACTGGGAGAACATGATCTAATGAATTCTATTTTATTTTAGGGGGATTTTCAGGTGCCTTTACCATCCAGCAGAATTAAAAAGGTAAGCGTCCGTCTCCCTCCCCCCCATATCTCAGTTTCTTTGTATGCTTTTGTTTGTTTTAAACTTTGTGATCTCATACAAAGCCTTTTCTTTCAAATGAAGATGCTTCAACAGCTTTGAGGTTTGAGAAGCACTGCTTTTCACATTTCCCCAGATGAAGTACTACACTTGTTGATTTTCTGTGATTTCAGACTGGGGGGGGGGGTAGGGGGCAAGTGCTTTCTTGTTTTAAAGTATTCTTGAAAATAGAAAGCCAGAACAAGAGACAACGAGCTGGTGTTGTCTGAAATACCAGACAACTGACAAATACCAGTTGTCTGAAATAATATGGTTTATTTTACCCCACCCTCATTAACATTCTTCTATGGAATCTAAATAGGTGACATTTATCTTAACATTGCAATGAACCAAGAGATCAGAACTTTCTTTCTCATTCCCAGATTAACTTGCTATCACAGTTAGTGAGCTACAGAGGAAATAATAAAGCAGAGAGGCAATAAGGGCCAGAAAAAGAAAAATAAACATGGCGAGTTATACAACATAGAATAACCTTGTCTCTCAATTTAAAAGTGCATTTAAAGTTGTAAAGAGAATTTCTGGATGTTTTGAAGACTGAAAAGCATTTGGAATATGATTTAAAAGAGAAGTTGTGTCATTATCAACATCCTTACATTTTGATTTGTACCTGATTCCCTGCATGAATGTTCTATAATTGGCAGAGGAATCATTAACAATAACAAACGTGTCCTTGCAAGAAGCTGCACTAACAAGGTATCCTTTGCCTGCTTATCCTTTATTATTTATTGTGAGGCACAGAAGTCCTATGGGGGAGGGAATAGAACATAGAATAATAGAGTTGGAAGTGTCCTTAGAGGTCTTCTAGTCCAGCAGCCCCCAACCTTTTGGGCACCAGGGATCTGTTCCATAGAGAGAGTTTTTTTTTTCATGGACTGGAAGGGGCATGGTTTCATGTGTTGCCTGCAGCCCACGGATGGGGCATTGCTTGTTTGCATGGCCTGGATTCTGGCAGGCCACGGCCTGGTGGCAGTCTACGGACCAGGGGTTGGGGACCCGTTCTAGTCCAGCTCACACCATTTCAGACAAATAGTTGTCCAGTCTTTTCTTAAAAGCTTTCAATGATGGAGCACCTACAACTTCTGAAGGCAAGCTGTTCCATTGGTTGATTGCTCTCACTGTTAGGAAATTTCTCTTTAGTTCTAGGACCTAGGTTGTTTCTCTGCTTGGTTAGTTTCCATCCATTGTTTCTTGTCTTGCCTTTTGGTGCTTTGGAAAATAGTTTGATCCCCTCGTTTTTGTAGGAGCTCCTCAAATATTGTAACACTGCTATTATGTCTTCCCAGTTCTTCTTTTTATTAGACTAGAGTCGACATACCCAATGTCTGTAACTGTTTTTTCTATATTTTAGCCTCCAACTCTTAATCATTCTTGTTGCTCTTCTTTGCATTCTTTTCCAGAGTCTCAACATCTTTTTTATATCCTTTAGTAGGATATAAATCCCCTACTAACAATTTACAATATTTAATTTAAATTTATAAATTTCCTAGGTTGCTTCAAGCTTTGTCTTTCACTATTCTTAGCAACACTGCTTTATAGGCAATCTAGTTATTGCTTTCATCTTTTGGTCGTTACTATAGAATTTAACTTCTTTTCATCCATGTTATTCTCATGACGGAAAGAACCAGAATAAGGGTTATGTTAGATTAGGTTTAGCATCATACATACATACCCATCACACTATTCTCTTTCAGGATGACCAACTTTATGCAAAGCACAGAAAATAAGTAAGAAATAGTAAGACAAAGACATTAATATATAAAATAAAAAGGCAATATAGCTAAATCTAATTTATACCAACATGATTCACTTTATCTTTCCATATATATCTTTCTTCTCTTGTTAATCATTTTTGCTTTCTCCCTATTCACACAGCTATTTCTATATTGCTGTAAGGACCCACCCCACTTTGTATCTTAAGAAGACAGAACTCTTGGAATAGCTCTTCCAACAGGAATCCTTTATTAAGAGAAAATGGTTGCAGGCATGCTAGACAGGACTTGGGGTTCAAGCTCTCCCATTCAAGGTTTTAAGGGGTTCCCCAGTAGTCCCAACCAATCAACCCCCCTTCCAGTGATAGTTTCAAGTATCACAATTCCATCCCCTTTCTTCTTCCGTCTGGATGGAGACTTCAGATAACTACATGAAAGGCAATTACTCTTCTTTGATATGTTAACGCTTAGAGTCCACAATAAACACACATTCAGTCCTTTGAAGTGTGCTGAAGGAAGTGAGGGCCATAAAGCCCCTTGCTCTCCCCCTTTTCTCCCTCTTATGGCAGAATCCAGAGAAGGCAGAATTGGGAGTTTCTATGTTTGATAATTAAAGATGAAATATAATTGGATTCTGACATCCGGCCCCTCTTAACAATAAGAGAGATCCACCTGAAAGAAAACACAAGTAAAGAATTTAGTTAGGCTTGTTAGGATCCTCTGTGTGAAACTTCTTCAATAGCTTCGGAGCTCTGACGTGACGTTTATGGACCCACTCATTTTGTGAGGCAGGGAGGTGTTTCCAGGCAACTAGGTACTGAGTTGTTCCATGATATCTCCTAGAGTCAAGGATCTCTTTTATTTCGAAGTGTTGTTCCCCCTCCACCATGATTGGAGGTGGTGGGGGGGATTTTTGGCCGTAGAGGTGACTGATGCTCTCTTTTCAGCAGGCTGCAATGAAAAACTGGGTGTATTTGCCTGAGGTTTTTGGGTAATTCTAATTCTACTGTTACTGGATTTATGATTCTTTTAATTGGAAAAGGTCCTATGTATTTTGGTCCAAGTTTTTTACAGGGCTGTAGGGACTTTAGGTATTTTGTAGATAAGTACACCATTTCTCCTATCATGAATGGTGTAGGCTCAACCCTTTTTTTATCGGCTTGTGCTTTGTATGCCTGCCTAGCTTCATCTAGTGATTTTCTGACTATTGGCCAGGTGTTTTGTAGGTTTTCCATCCATTCTTTCAGTGAAGGGATCGTTGGTTCTTTTGGGGTTAACTCTGGCTTAGGGTTGAAACTTTGGCCGTTGGCTATTTGAAAAGGAGTGTAGCCTGTGCTGGAGTGGACTGCATTATTGTAGGCAACTTCTGCAAAAGGAAGTAAGTCCGTCCAATCACCCTGTTGGAAATTTAAAAAACATCTCAAATATTGCTCAAGTACCGACTGGCACCGTTCCGCTTGTCCATCTCCTTGAGGGTGGTGGCTAGATGTCAATCGCTGAGTGGTCCCTAAGAGGGATAAAAATTCCTTCCAAAATGCAGACGTAAATTGCACTCCCCTATCAGAGATGATGCGTTGGGGTGCCCCGTGCAATCTGTAAATGTGCTGGATGAAAAGTTTTGCTAAGGCCTTTGCAGTGGGAATTTTTTGGCAAGGTTCCAACTGGGTCAGCGGCTCTCTTTCCAGGGAGTTTTCTCCCTCTCTTGCTTCGTTGTCTGACATGGTAAATTTTTGCAAAATCCCCCGGCAAGGGTCTACCTTCCAGGTGGATTAATTTTGCAAGTCCTGTCTAATGTAAGGACCCACCCCACTTTGCATCTTAAGAAGACAGAACTCTGGGAATAGCTCTTCCAACAGGAATCCTTTATTAAGAGAAAATGGTTGCAGGCATGCTAGACAGGACTTGGGGTTCAAGCTCTCCCATTCAAGGTTTTAAGGGGTTCCCCAGTAGTCCCACCCAATCAACCCCCCTTCCAGTGATAGTTTCAAGTATCACAATTCCATCACCTTTCTTCTTCCGTCTGGATGGAGACTTCAGATAACTACATGAAAGGCAATTACTCTTCTTTGATATGTTAACGCTTAGAGGCCACAATAAACACACATTCAGTCTTTTGAAGTGTGCTGAAGGAAGTGAGGGCCATAAAGCCCCTTTGCTCTCCCCCTTTTCTCCCTCTTATGGCAGAATCCAGAGAAGGCAGAATTGGGAGTTTCTATGTTTGATAATTAAAGATGAAATATAATTGGATTCTGACAATTGCTGTTTTATCCTTATCTTTTCACTTATCTTTTTAAAGATGTCAGTTCTGTGCAACCATAATTTTCTCATTCTTCTCTTTTAATGCATTTGTTCTTCCTTTATATATTTGTTCTACAATTCAGTTTTCATTCTGTCTGCATGACCAAACCATCTAAATGTATTTTTCTCATCTCTCTCATTTACTTTGATATTCAGTTCACATTCATTTAATATTCATTCATCCATTCTTGACCTATCTCATAATAATAATAATAATAATAATAATAATAATAATAATAATAGTTGGAAGGGACTTTGGAGGTCATCTAGTCCAACCTCCTGCTCAGGCAGGAAACCCTATACCATTTCAGACAAATGGCTGTCCAGTCTCGTCTTAAAAACTTCCAGTGTTGGAGCATTCACAGCTTCTGGAGGCAGGTTGGTCCACTGATTAATTGTTCTAATGGTCATGTTTTAGCCTCCAGTCCCCTAATTATCTTTGTTGCTCTTCTCTGTACTCTTTCTAGAGACGCAACATCTTTTTTACATTGTAGTGACCAAAACTGAATGTAATATTCCAAGTGTGGCCTTATCAAGGCATTATAAAATGGTATTAACACTTCACATGATCTTGATTCTATCCCCCCTTTTATATTGACCCAAATGCATTCAAGACAGTTTTCATCATTGTTGTGCTCTATTTTTGTAGAGATGTAGTTATTTCTTATATAGAGAGCAACTTCACCTCCTCTTTTATTTGGTCTGTTTCTTTTAAACAATTTAAATAATAATTTAAATAATTTAAAATAATTTAAATAATTAAATCATTAAATAAATTAAATAATTTTACCCCCCAGACAATTTTCAGTAACCTATTCTAAGTACACTCAATTAATTTTTAAATTCCCCATTCTTACTTGCTTTTAACAAAGTGAGGAGACACACTCCCTTATGCACTGCCTTTTCCATTCTTTC